AAGCCCCTCTCCAGGTCTCCTGGAGCCCCTTTAGGCACTGAAGCTGCTCTAAGGTGTCCCCTTCAGGAGCCTTCTCTTCTCCAGCTGCCCCAGCCCGGCTCTCTCAGCCTGGCTCCAGAGCAGAGCTGCTCCAGCCCTCGCAGCAGATCTGTGGCCTCCTCTGGCCTCGCTCCAGCGGCTCCACGGCCCTCTTGTGCTGTTCCCCAGAGCTGGATCAGGGCTGCAGGGGGGGTCTCCCCAGAGCACAGCAGAGGGGCAGGATCCCCTCCCTGAGCTGCTGCTCACGCTCTGGGGGTGCACCCAGCACACAGGGGGTTCTGGGCTCAAGCACACACTGAAGCCAGGTCATGGGGAGCTTCTCATCAGGAAAGCTCAGTTAGAAGTGCTTTGAAGAAGTAAAAGCAGCCATCAGCACCGACTGTGGTGCTGGGCAGAGGCCGGCAGCATCCTGCTCCTGCCAAGAGCGTGACTGTCTCAGGGCGTACACGCAGCCAGACAGTAACTGGCTTGTTAACTTTTGATGCCCTGATGACAGGTTGATGTTTAAGGTACAAAAGCAAGCTCCTGCAGCGATACCTGTGTGATTGCTGCGCTGGTTTAGTGGCAAAAGCTGACGTCATGGCCAGGTCCCATAGTTGTCATCTGTGCTTTCCTGGTTCCAGTAGATGCTGGAAGCTCCAGCCACCAGTTCTGCTTCCAATCTTTGCCATCCTTGGGGACAGGCCATGTTACTCCCTATGGATTGCATTCCAGGTTTTCCCGGGGATTATCCCAAAAGGGGCATGGTGCTTATACAGAGATACAGCTTTGGTCATTTCCTGCCTATACAACTATTTTTGACCCTCTTTGAGCATGGGTCCAGCCCTTTTTGCTCCTCAGCCCCATTCCCTGATTCCCACACCGCTCCGGCAGCAGTACCCCCTGTGTCACGGAGCCCCTTTGTACCACCCACTGCCTTTAAATCTCCTTGGGTGTCTTTTTTGCCATCTGTAGGTCATCACAGGGTTAGATTTTATGGGATTTGCTATGTTTAACCATGCTATTGTCTGGTGGAGGGGACTGGGGACAATCTGGTTCTTCCTGGGGGGTGATGGAGGGCCTGGGGGATGTGCGCATGGTGGTTTTGGGGTTTTTATCTTTAAGTAAAATCGTATTTGAGAGCCCTACCCATAAGACAAAGACCTGGAAAATTCATTGCCTGGTTTCTTCTACCCTCCCGTTTTGGTTTGTGGTCTACACTTTAAGAATCCCAAACGCATCACCTTGGACTGCACATCAAAACCTTGCGGGAAGGAGCCATCTGGGACACGAAGTGGGCTAGCCCAGACTATTGCTGGCACAGGATGTGCTTCCCTGCTAAGTAGGATGGAAATAAACTCAGAGGGATCAGTGGTGATGCTCTAGAGGAGACCCATGCTAAGGCTTTGGCTGATGACATTGAATTTGAGTTATCAGGGGCTGGGCCCTGCCAAGCTGCATCCAACTGGGAAGGAGACAGTGGTCAACCCGTTGTGAGGCTCACAAAAGCAGACTTCTAGACATCAGGGAGAAGGCAATATTAGAGGAACCTGCTGGGGAGCAGAGCGTGGTGAGCAGCTCAGTGCACGGGGAGTTGTGCAGCTGGGCTTTTCCATGGGAAAGCTGCAGCAAGACACGTATTTCTTGGTCTAACAGAAATACAGGCATGACTTTGCTCAGAAATGGAAGTAGAGAGCAACATTTGCCACTTCTCCCTGGAATTTGAGGGGTTTCAGTGCAATTCTCATGCAGCAGCACAAGGAAGGTTCTGAAGAAATTCCAGAGTTGAGTTTACTGAAGGATGGGCAGTGCTTAGGGAGGATGAGCATGTCCAGAGCTCTGCTATGGCCACAGAGATTGCTGTTGGAGAAGGCTTAGTCTTCTTTTCCCAAACATCAGGCACTCAGGGCCCAGGGCTTGGCTCAGGGCATCTGCTCTAAGGTTAAATAGGCACAGAAATTTGGGAGGGTTGAGCTGGACAAGGGCTGTTAGCGCCCATCCCTGCACCAGCAGGCACCCCAATAGGAGCACCCAACCCTTCACGCTGGTTGCGGGGGGAGCTGCAAGGTTTGCTTTTGTTTCTCATGTCAATCCCTGCTTTGTAATTTGGGCCATTTGTCAGGTAAAACAGGAGAAGGAGCAAAAGGTCACGGGCTTGATTTACCAAGAGCCTTGAAGTTATTAACACTGCTCAGCCTTCCAGTTGGGAATTTTCTTTGCCCTCAGCTGCCTGTCACTGCACTGCTGGAGATAAAGCCCTGTGGTGTCAGGGCTAATGCAGGGCCAATGACAGATCAAAGCAGCCTGTGTTGGGGTGGGTTTCCAAAGCCTCCCTCAGAAAGGAGAGGTTGCACCTTGCTGGTGCACACGTGGAGGGGCAGCCGAAAGCTAAAACCCCAAACTTCAGCAATGCTGCGGTTGCAACCATCTGGCAAAGGGTATCAGAGTGTTGCAGGAGCTTCCAGTGTGATTTATCATAGAATCCCAGAGTGGTTTGGGTTGAAGAGACCTTAAAACTCCTCCAGCTCCAACCCCTGCCCCGGGCAGGGACACCTTCCACTAGAGCAGGTTGCTCCAAGCCCCTGTGTCCAACCTGGCCTTGAACACTGCCAGGGATGGGGCAGCCACAGCTTCTCTGGGCACCCTGTGCCAGCACCTCAGCACCCTCACAGGGAAGAGCTTCTGCCCCAGAGCTCATCTCAGTCTCCCCTCTGGCAGGTTCAAGCCATTCCCCTTGTCCTGTCCCTCCATCCCTTGTCCAAAGCCCCTCTCCAGGTTTCCTGGAGCCCCTTTAGGCCCTGGAGCTGCTCTAAGGTGTCCCCTTGAGGAGCCTTCTCTTCTTTTAGTTGAAATACTGTGAGAAGGTTGGGAGGGTATTTTGGGAGTGAATTTGTTTTTTGCCCCCATTGCAGGTCTTTCATCCCTTTTTCCTTGTGTACTGAACATGCAGAACTCCAGTGTTATACACAGGGTGGTGCCTTGGCTGTGCAGCTTAATGCTGACTCTGTGGGCAGGCTGTGCTGGACCAGCCCCTCTAAGAGGCTGAGGGATGTAGGTTTAGTTAATTTTAGCCCCCCTTCCTTATGGACACATGCACATAAAGACCTAACTTGTTGGTATTTTGGTATATGTTAGTATGTCAGTGCATGGAAGCATCATGAGTAGGGCAGAAGCGGGTCAGGAAGGAGTTTGGGTGGCGAGAGCTCAAGGGTTTTTCCTCTTATAGAGCGTTTTGCGGATCTCTTTAAATTCCACTTTTCAGCTCCACGGAAGTCGATGACATGATTAGAAAATCCACAAACCTGCTGCTGACCCGAACACTGAGCAACTGTTTACAGAATGTCATCAAGAGGAAAAACGTCGGCCTGACGGAGGTAGGACACGGCTTTGCGGTGATCCGGGGTGTCAGGAGGGGGTTTGATCCCTCAAAACCCTGTACAGCACCTTTAGAGGTGCTGGTTTGGAGCATAATTTGGAAGTATTTGGTTGGGAAACAACAGTGGAACCACAGAGTGTTTCTGTACAAAGCAAAAACACTTTATATTATGGGAAAGAAGATTTTTTTGCTGTTGCTGTTGTCATTGCCCATCTTTTGAATTTGTGGATCATTATGTATCTGAATTAAAGTAAGAGGACATCAAGGAGCACCAGAGAAGAGCCAAGTGGGAACTGTGACAGATTCCCGTCTCTAGGTGATGTTTGAGGCTTGTTTTCAGCACGTTGCTGCAGTGCACATTCTGTATTGATATTTTCTTCTCACAAGTGATGCTTTCTTGTGTGCAAAGTCAGGTTTCTGCAAAGTTTAATGCGAATAAATCGTGGCTTTTCGGGAATGTGTGTGGTACCCAGGGCAGTTTGGATACCTTAGTGGGACCTCTGTATGCTGTTATTAAACAAGTAGATGTTAATACAGCTGCAGTTGTTTAATGGACTGTGCTGTAGAAATGTGTCCTGCTCTCTGGACACTCTAAATACCCTGTGGAGGTGAGTTTAGGGGAGTTCAGTGCATTTACAGTGGTATGTATTTACACATGATGCTTCCTCAGCCCTTTATCTCACAGTCTGGAATCTCTCTGCTCCCTGGGGGCAAATTCCTCTTCCCCTCTGCTCCTCTCAAGGCTCCCTCCACAGAGGAATGCAACATTATCCCTGTGCTATCCATCCCCTAAATGAGCTTTTTAGCTGCTGTTGCAGTGTGATTGAATGTAGGAAGGGCAAACCGAGTGCCACAATCTCCTTGGCAGCTTCTGCCCAGTTTGGATGGTGTAGACGTTCCTTGGCATCTTGGACAATGAGTGAAGGTGATGCCTTTGGGCTGAGAGTGGCTTCTTCACATGTTTTGCAGCCGAAGAGGATTTTGCTAGGAAAGCCTCTGCAGCATAACCCAAGTTTAAAGTAAAGGTTTGATATGTCCAGAGATTGATGTTGATGTGACTCTTTTATTTTCATCCTTATTCCTTACCGCTTGCTGAGGTACAACTAACTCTCTCCTGGAGTTGTCTCTACCACCATCGTTTAATTTGTTTAAAGAAAAACTACTTTGAGCATCTTCATCCCCTCCTGCCTCTTTTCTTTGTGTAACCAGTGGCCTGTTTGTCCAAATGGAAGCACTTGGCTTTATTCTTCTGAGTTTCTCAGATCTTTTCCTCTTAAGACATTGGTGTGACTGTGTGGAGCGCAGGAATTAAAGGGCACATTGAAGAGTCCCGGATCATACGCAAGCATAGCCCTAGTGTCAGAAGTGATTGCAGAAGATATTTAAGTACCTTGTATAACTGTCACTTCCCAGATTTAGTTTCTGCACAAAGCCACCCCATCCATATCTGGGTTTTCCAATGTAATTTTCCAAGCAGTGGACAAGGTAATACAAGGCTGTGCACTAGCCTTCCTGGTCTGTTGTCCTCTGATTTAGTTTTCATTGCTGTTTTTCGTGGGCTAACTCTTAGGAATGGGTGTTGAAGTTTGTTACAAACTGTGCTTCAAATAACCCTGGTGTTTTGAATAATGCTGACATCTCTCAACAAAAGACAGGGAAAGGATGCTCCTATTTTCATCACTTGAATGCCCCAATTAGATGGTCTTACCCCACAGGATTCAAGAGAAGATCAGAACTTGAAGGAGCCAGAGAGGAAGCAGGAAAGCTCATAACAAGTGGTGGAAGAGAATCAAAACAATCAGGGCCTTGAAGTTTGATAGCTCTAGACCAGTAAATTGTGATGATCAGAGAAGAGGTTTAGGAGGAATTTCACACAGTTAGAAGCATCTAATATTTAATTAACTTGAAACTATAGGAAAACATGTCACAATCATGATGTCAGGGCTGTCCCTGACATGTCATGATGTTCCCATCTGACATGGGGAAACGCTTGTTTGAAGGCAGAAATTGAGAACAAAATTAGTCTAAGGAACTCAGAAATGAGAAGCCCTCCCAGCTACCTGTGTGGTAGGTCCATTTCATGGACCAAGTACAAAACAACAGGAGTTCAAATAGATCAGAATTTCATTTATTAATAACAAAACCTGATTGAAATCAATGAAGCGTTGGCTGGAATTGACCTCTGGAGGTATCTAGCTTTACCTCCCTCTGGAAGTGGGACCATTGCTCACTTGGATCACGTCAACTGTGGCTTTCTTTACCCAACTTTTAATTCCTCCAAAACAGAGGTCCCACAGCTTCTAAGGACACCCTGTTGCAGTCCTGCAATCCCTTCCTAATGACTCTTTTCCTTCCTAATATCCAAGTTGAACCTCCCAAACCGTGACCATTGCCCTTTCTCATGCCATCCAGCACTAGCAACAGTTGGGTGCTGTAATCTGTGTAGCATTACTTCACTATTTCTGTGTCTGCAACACTCAAATTGCTGATTAATTCATCTCATTCCGAACATTTATGAGCATTTCAAAATCATTTCTTTAGAAGAGGTGACTGCAGCCTGTCACACCATCCCCCAGCAATTACATTATAGCAATCTGGAGCATTCTAATGCATTCTGCAAGAGAACTGTTTTGGCAGGGTATTTGAGCTAGACCTTGTTTGGAAAGGTTTTGTTAGAGCTGATGGTGCACCTGGAAAACATTCACAGGAGCCTGCTTGGAAAAAAAGGTATCTGCTTAAGGAATTAATGGTGCTTCCAAGTCAGTGATCCTACAGCGAAAGCCTGGGTTGGTTTGCTCTGGATTGTAAAGGTCTCATGACATCTGATTGTAAATGTTGACTGACTTTAGCAGAAGTTTTTACTGTGTAGTTGCCTTTAATGCCCTGCAATAGTGCCATGTGAAGGCAGCTGAGATGACAGCATTACCGAAACGGCAAATAGTGGTGGATATGGTAACTGAGAAGACACCAGGGTGAGACCTGCTGCTCACCCACACCACCCTCACCAGAGCAAAACCTTGTTGTTTCTTTGTTAAATGCCTCGCTATGATCTTGTTTGGTGTCACTCAAGATACGGGTTGCTTGGGGTTCATCAGCAGATGGAACACTTGTGATTTGACATGGCATTTTGTGGTAAGCCTCTTGTATTTGACCTGTGCTGAAACGAGCACTGAGTGACAGCTGAATGTAGGAAAGTCATTAAAATAAATAATCTTTCGTGGTATCAGTGGCTGTGATGGGAAAAGCTTTTCCCCCAGAAGTATCTTTTATTTAAGTTTCTGATGTTCTTTAAGGTTGGGGAGCTTTTGAGCATGTAGAAAAGCTTAGTATATTTGTACAGCATCAGCTTTTCATGCTAGAACTTCTTAGATATTGGCATCTGTTAAGCTGGCACGTCCCTGGCTTCAGGGGCACGATGGTTGAACATCTCTTTTGCCTTTGCAGCTTGTACAGATTATTATAAATACGACCCATTTGGAGAAATCCTGCAAGTTCCTAGAGGAATTCATAACCAATATCACTAATGTACTTCCAGAAACTGTCCACACTACGAAACTCTACGGGACCACAACCTTCAAGGTGAGAAGGCTTGGTAGATCCACCTCAAGGAGCTGCTGTTGATGTTTGGTTGGAGAGTACCTGCTTTCAGAGTGTCTGTGGGGATGTGTGGGGGTAGGGAGCTAAGCTAAGCTGAAAGGTAGTTTTGTCAAATCCTGGGAAGCTGATGCCATCAAACTAAGTTTTGGGTTTGTTCTTCGGAGCTTTACAAGGATACTGGAGAGAGACTCCTCATCAGGGACTGTAGCAATAGGACAAGGGGTGATGGGTTCAAACTTAAACAGGGGAAGTTCAGGTTAGATATAAGGAAGAAGTTCTTTGCTGTGAGGGTGGTGAGGCCCTGGAACAGGTTGTCCGGAGAAGTGGTAAATCCTCCATCCCTGGCAGTGTTCAAGGCCAGGTTGGACACAGGGGCTTGGAGCACCCTGCTCTAGTGGAAGGTGTCCCTGCCTGGGGCAGGGGTTAGAACTGGATGAGCTTTAAGGTCCCTTCAACCCAAACCAGTCTCTGGTTCTATGATTCTATTACTTCCTTTGAGATCATGAGCCTTTGTAACCCTGATTTACATGTTGTAACTGCAGCACTTGTTATCTAAAGGATTAAACAGCTTTTAAACAAAAGCCTGATTTCTTAACATTCCTTTTTTAAATGAATTTTCACTTTGCTGCTTGAGCTCTGTGCAGTGTTACACACATGTGGCCACGAACACAAGCTCTCCTCTTTCACCCAAGAGAATAGGTTTTCAGAAGTTATATTTCTGTATCTTTTCACTCCATTTAGTGTTAACCCCTAAAAATCAGAGCTGACAGAAACTGCTGGACTTCCCAGTCTTTAAATCATAACCCTGGAGTGTCCACCCAGATACTTTATCTTAAATCTTAAGGCCATAGTTCCTTATTATGAGGGTGCTGAGACACTGGCACAGGGTGCCCAGAGAAGCTGTGGCTGCCCCATCCCTGGCAGTGTTCAAGGCCAGGCTGGACACAGGGGCTTGGAGCAACCTGCTCTAGTGGAAGGTGTCCCTGCCCGGGGCAGGGGTTGGGGCTTTAAGGTCCCTTCCAACCCAAACCATTCTATGATTCTATTCTATGATTCTATTCTATGATTCTATAATTGGGTCAACTGTGGGGTGTTTGAATTGTGTTTTCTGGAAAGCGGGAGATGGGAATGGTGCCAAGGATTTCAATAACAGTAGGGAACAGGTTAGGTAAGGTTTGCCCTTGGGATAAGTCAGCAGGAGACTAAGGCCCCATGTCCCCAGGGAAGTACATTCATTGTCCCTTCTGGCACTGTCTACTGATTTGGCCTAACAGTGAGTTTTTCTACTCTCATTCTGGCAAGGAGGCTCCTCTGTGGCCGTCCTGCACCCCAAACCTGCACACAATTTGGTAGGTCTCAACCTTTTTCCATATGGGACATTCCTCTTCCATGTCTCTCTCTCATCCTGAACTAGATGTGTCCTCTTGGTCCCCGGGTTGCATCAGAGACAGACACCAGCTTGTTCTTGCCTCCCACTTGACTTGGTAACCATGTCCCACCAGTCTTGGCTAAGCTGAGGCTGTAGCAGCCATGTAGTTACCTACAGGTGCTTTGTATTGTGCTGCCTTTAGGGACTGGGCCAACGTCCTGTTGCTTGTGGAGACTCGTGTTATGGAGATTCTGTTCCATGGAATGTTGTCTTGTTTCCCAGGACGCCCGTCATGCTGCTGAGGAGGAGATTTACACCAACCTGAACCAGAAGATAGACCAGTTCTTGCAGCTGGCAGACTACGACTGGATGGCCATGGAGCCGAGCAGCAAGGCCAGCGACTACCTTGTAGATCTCATCGGCTTTCTACGGAGCACGTTTGCTGTGTTCACCCACCTCCCGGTACGTCACCTCCACGTGTTTGCTTTCTTCTTCCATCTAGGGAACATCTGGTGGTGCTGTTGAAACTAATGGTTGCTCAAGCTTTATGGAGTGGGATGGAAATGGGGTCTTGGACTGTCAGAAGATACGAAATAACAAATTATAAGAGGGTAGATTGAGATGAGCTCTTGGGCAGAAGCTCTTCCCTGGGAGGGTGCTGAGGCTCTGGCACACGGTGCCCAGAGAAGCTGTGGCTGCCCCATCCCTGGCAGTGTTCAAGGGCAGGTTGGACACAGGGGCTTGGAGCAACCTGCTCTAGTGGAAGGTGTCCCTGCCCGGGGCAGGGGTTGGAGATGGATCAGCTTTAAGCTCCCTTCAACACAAACCATGCTGTGATTCTGTGTAACCTATGTGTTACCATGAGTTAGGCTTCCGTGAGAGTCTCCCCAAGTGTTTTCAGGTCTACTTACACATGAATGAGGGAATATCACAGTCCACCATGTAGAAGTAGGACCAGAATTCACTAGCCACCCATATTTTAGATATGTTAACTCAGATTAATGGATGTTGAAGATCTTTTTCAAGACATGCCAGTATATGGGTGTCTATTATTTGAACTGCAGATACACTTCCAAATGTTTGTCAAGTCACTGGATGCCTTACATCAAAATGTTGCTCTTTGGAAGGCAGCATATGTTTCTTTCTTTTCTCTGCTGTCTAAAATAGGCCTCTTTTTATGCTGTTATTGCGATCAAAAAGGTATTTTATGTTGCTTTTTTGCAGTTGGCTGAGTAGTGTCCCATTGAATAGGAAAAATATAACCATCAGGGAGTTTCATTTTTGCTCAAAAAGCTTTTTTCCCCCCTTTTAAATAAGATTTGTTAGGAGCTGTCTGGATATATACTTATAAAGTATCTTCAGTCATCAGGTATTTTGTAACAGCAAATCCACTGAACACTATATTTGTCCTAAAAGCAATTTCAGATCATTCTTCCTTCCTTGACTGTTATTTATTTGGTGTTACTGGGTGCCCAGGGCTATAGTGCACCAGCACACACTGGGCATCTCTCATGAGCTTGGATATAAACAGGAAGAAAAGGCTAATAACACACAATGGTGGTTTTCTTCACTGTATTCTGCTTGTTTATACCACTGTGATTGCTCTACTGGAAGGATGTTCAAGCCCTTCAGAGCCGTTCTGGGAGGTGTTACAGCCCCCAAACTGTGCAGCACTCTGCATGGTTCATGACTTCATCATAGAATCCCAGACTAGTTTGTGTCAGAAGGAGCCTTAAAAGTCATCCGGTCTCAACCCCCTGCCCCGGGCAGGGACACCTTCCACTAGAGCAGGTTGCTCCAAGCCCCTGTGTCCAACCTGCCCTTGAACACTGCCAGGGATGGGGCAGCCCCAGCTTCTCGGGGCACCCTGTGCCAGCGCCTCAGCACCCTCACAGGGAAGAGCTTCTGCCCAAGAGCTCATCTCAGTCTCCCCTCTGGCAGGTTCCAGCCATTCCCCTTGTCCTGTCCCTACAGGCCCTGTTACTACATGCCCTTGTATAGCCTTCTCTAGTGTAGCAGGATGGAAATGAGGGTTTATTTGCTGTGTATGGAGAAGTCACCAAGAGAGAAATGAAAGTGCTTTCCTCGTTCTCTGTATGCAGAGGTGGTGGTGAGAAGGTGCTTGCTTGTCTCTGTTATCACTAGAACAAACTGCTAACCAAAGTGTTGGTGCTGTCCAGAGAGGTTGGAAGGACTTTCATCCTTCTTCTTGTTCAGGCCAGGTTTATTGCCAAAATGTCCCTTCTGTTGGCAGCCCTGAGCAGCGTGGCTGGTGCCCTCTGGAGTCAGGAGGTGCTTGGAGATGGCTGGATTCCACAACTGCTGGATTTCTCCGTAAAAAAGGAAATGTGGTTCCACATTTATCACCTGGAGACCAGTTCCACAAATCATATTGGGAATACTTATGCAAGCAAGTAATGGAGTTTGGCAGGGAGATTGGTCTCTGCACCAGAGCATGAAGCATGGCTAGCAGGAGAGATGAGGATGGGGAGAGAAGCCCACAGTGATTTATGAGATTGGCCAGGAGCGATTTATCTTCCTTTAAATATTAATGTTTCCTTTCTGAGTGAGTCAAAATTGTTTTGGAGGCTGGGAGGACATCTGATTGGTCTGAAAAGGACTGAGGCAGCTTGAAGCAGCCTTTTCTCTCCCAGAACTGGATTAGGAAGGACCCAGCCCAGGGGAAGGCTGTTTGTATTTGCAGTGTAGCACCTTATCTTCAAAGCATTGCAGGGCACTGATCCTCCTGATAGCCTCAGGATATAGGGGAGGCAAGTCAATCAGGTGCTGCAATCTGATTTGTGAAGCTGTAGATCTGGTGCAATGGTTTGTAGGAGATATGGGTGTGGGGGTTTTATATGTATTTAAGTTTCTCCCTTTAGAGGAGTGATCTGAAGATGCTGTCCCTGAACATCGCTGATGGGTCCCTGGGTACCCTTGCAGGCAGTGGTCGGTGAGAACACGTCAGGAAGAATCAGGGCACATCTAAAAGACACCCAGCTCTTTTGGTGTCTCTGTTGGTTCATTCTCGTAGGGTTCAAGGGCCTTCTTCCAGTGGCTTAATAGAAACATATTAAAACGTCTGCACTTTACTAAATAAGATAGGAGATAAGGTGTGGAGAAGCCCACATTGGTCAATGCAGAGAAATGATGGAGATGTTTGTGAAAGCACCAAAATTGCTGGATGAGCTTTATTTGTGAAAAGAAAGAGTGAGAAGGGTTTGAGGGGGAAAGGAACTATCTGCGGAAATGGTGGTGCTGGATTGCTGGTGGCAAGGTAGAGCTGTTTCTGTACTGCTGGTCCAAATCCAGCCCAAATCGTTAGTGCTGTAGCATTATTATCTAAAAGGAGATGCTGCCCTGATTGAAATGAGTTTGCAGCCTGGTTCAGCTGTAAAATACAGACTGTCAGTAGCTCACAAAGAAAAGCAAGTGACTTTGCACCATCCTTGGATGGGGCATCGTTGGAGCATCTTCTCATTTCATGGAAGCGGACTCCATGCAACACCATCCCTTTCTGTTCTCATGTCCTATGCTGGTTTGGAAATTCCCCTGTCTTCCAGAGGTGATAATTGGGTACCTTTGTGTTGAATTTGCACAATTTTAGAAGTGAAAAGCATACTCCTAGTGTTGGAACTTGTTTTTCAGAAGAGTGGCAGTCTCAGGAGATGACTAAGTGGCAGGAGCCGAGCTACTCACCTGCCTTTTGTCACAACAGCAATTACACCAAGAAAAACCTTCACCTGGTGATCAAAGAAACTCAGCCTGGGCTTGTTTGCTGTTAGTGTGCTAAAATTACAGCAACAAAAAGTGCTGTCCTGTAATAGAATGGAGCTGAAAGTCCTGAGCCTGCAAAAATGCAGGCGGCTCCTTAACATGATGGGTGTGAGTAATCCCATTGTCTCGGATGGGGCTCCTTGTCTGCAGGAAGCCTTTCTGGGGTCAAGGCTCCAGCTTGCTGCAAGGCAGATCAAATGGCCTTGAAAGGTCCAGTTGACTCAAGTCAATGTTTTGGAGAGGGGGGTGAAGAGGAGCAGAGATGCTGAGCGAGCTAAAAGGTGACTGAGCCAAGATTTGGCCATTAGGTTTTGTGTTTCCCTTTTTGGATACATGAGGCGGAATTTTTCCTGTATTTATTGGGGGGAATCCGAGAATGGTTGAGGTTTGGAAGGGACCTGTGGAGGCCATAGGATCATAGAATGGTTTGTGTTGGAAGGGGCTTTTAAAGGTCAGCTAGCCCAACCCCCCCTGCCATGAGCAGGGACACCTTCCACTAGACCAAGTTGCTCCAAGCCCTGTCCAACCTGGTGCTGAGCATCTGCCACCTCTCTGGAAAACCAGGTCATCTGGTCCAACCCACCTGCTCAAGCAGGAAAAGTAACCCAGACCAAAGCTAGTCCTGGCTGGTGGAGTGCCCTAAAGAGTCTCTGCTTTCTCTAGTGTTCAAGCAGAAATTGCAATCCCTATTTTTTTTCCTTTAGAGCATCAGAATAGACATTGTGGGAGCTGGTGGAAACCACTTGATATTAGGAATCCTGGAATCGAGTTGCTTTTTGCAGCTTTGCTTCAGGATGTTGAGCCCCCATCTGTGAAGGGCATGCTGGTGGGTACAGCGTGTGCCAGCGGGGGGCAAGGAGAAGTTCATGGTGAAGTTAATGGGGGTTTAGTGTATACCACTGCTGCATGGAATTTTCATGGTGGTTTAGAGCCACAATTTGAAAATGCTTCACTAAGTGCCCAAAATGTCTCCAAAGAAATAAAACGCTGGTGGGAATTGAAGTGTAATTAACATTTGGCTTCAAGGCTGCCCTCTTCCTGCGTTAACCAGGGAGAGTTGGTTACTGCTGCTGCTGAGCTTATTAATATGGGATGCTCGGGCCTCCTTTAAAAGAAAATACTTCTATTTTTTAAAGGAAAAAATACTTTAGGGAGAAAAAAAAAGTATTTTAGGAAAAGAGAAAAAAAAGGTGGTTTCTGCTTTTCAGCAAGTAAAGGGCCTCCAAAAATGAACATTTCCAGCGTAATACTTTTAGAAGAATGACTGAAAAAGCCTTTTGTCTTTGATGGCTGCTTGTTGTTTTTATTTCTTGTTAGACAAGTTAATGTAAATCGCATTGACAGGGCTACTCCAAACACACTGATTTGTTGACATTAAGCTTCTAGGAGATGGAGGGTTGTGTCAACACCTACAGTGAACTGTCAGGTTAACAAAGCAAGGATGTTTTCTTGGGGGAGGGGAGCAGGGTTGGGGGAAGGGGGGGGTGTTTTGTTTTTATTTTAGGTTTCCTTTAATCCTCTGTTAGTCTTGTATCTTGATAACCTCCTTTGGAAGGTAATCAGGGCAGGTCAAGAGGTGATGCTGACCCGGGAAAGGGAAGCAATCTTTCAGCGATCGAACAAACTCTAACCTCTGCTGTCTTTGAGCAGTTCAGTGTGAACTCTTTGCAAAGGGGGTTTGGGGGCTGTTTTTTTGGGCTTTTTTTTCTTCCTTTTGTGCTTATTTTTGCCAGATGGCAGGCAGAGATTTCAGCTGGAGCCACGCGAACGCTGCGGCTGCTCTGCCTGCAATGGTTTTGCCTTATTCACCGTGTTGGCATCTCCTCCCTGTTGCAGATGAATACTCCAGCCCCGGCAGCTCTTGCTTTGGTTGAAAGAGCTTTCAAAGTGTTTATTTTCCTTTTAAAGAGAACGATTACCTCTGTTTTTATTTAAAAAGCCAAATCCCTCTGTAATATTTTCAAAGGCACTGTGCATGGAAGTAAAATGCCTTGAACTTTGCACCAGTCACAGCCTTGACCATGTTGGGAGGGACCCAAGTGGAAAATAACCATCACGAAGACATCATATGAGCACCAAAGATGCTGTCTTTAGATGTGCACGAGTCCTGCGGGTGCTTAGATAACTTGTCCTTGCCCTCAGAAGAGCTTTTCCTTGAGCTGGTCCCTGCTGTCACTCACTAGGGTTTGACATCCATCACCTCCATCCTACAGGTGGGAAAGCTGAGGCACGTGGATGTTGACTTGCAGAACATACCTAGTGGCAATAAAACTTGACCTGTGGTACTTTGATTTCCTCTTCATCCTCTGTAGACTGGGTTCAAAGAGCCCATATTTTGCTTTACTAATACTCTACCAACTGTCGAGCATCTCGTCCTTGGTTGAAACGTTAATGGGTTGGCTGTAGGCACCTCTGGGCAATGACCGATGTGACTCTCTGCCTTTCTCGCTGTTGCTTTGCTCTCTTCTGCATTTGACTTTAAACTCCCTGTGTTGTCCTCTGTAGGGGGATGTAGATGTCCACTCTACAATGTCGGTGAGTACAAGACTGCGTGTCGCACGCGTTTGGTCTGCTCTGCTCGCACCTCAGATGTTAAGGGGGTGAATTGAACCAGAAAAGGTCCTTAGTCTCAGAAGGGAGGAAAGGAAAAGGGTGAATAGAAGTGTAAATCAATAGGGTAAATAGGAGAGCAGGGAAAAGGGTTTCCTTCCAGGGATCACCCACAAGCATGCTGTTGCAGTAACATTGCTAAATCACTGCTTTTAGAGCACGTGGCATTTAACTGTCTCCTTTTATCCCCCATGCATCTCTAAATGTGCGGGGAATTAGGGGAAATGCCTGTTATTAGGGAAAGCTTGATGGGATCTTCAACCTCTGCTTGAAAAAGGAAAGATCTTTTTAAAATCCCCCCTCACTCCCTGTATTCTGTTCAGACAAATGCCCCAGGGGGATTTCAGCCTGATGATCATCCTGGTCTAAGTGCTTCAACCTGGGGCTTGGACTGCTAAGTTCCCTCCAGCTAGAGTGGTAGAATAGTGTTTTATCCAGAAAATAGTGTGGGTGCTTGAATGCTTTCTATCTCCCTATTTGGATTAAGGCAATCAGCACAAAGAAAGTGATGGAGACCTCTCGGACCTGCCTTCTGGTTCAACGAGCCCCTCTAATTGTTGTCATTTCTGCTTGTTTCATGTGCGGGAGAAGCAGCAGCAGCATTTCCAGAGATAGATTGCAAACAAAGTGCTCTCGAGCTACCTTGTTTCCTCTATTCCCATGTCTGCAAGCCAAGACACGTGCGGGCAAAGCGTGCCTTGTTTTATGTTGGTGCAGCCCTGCTCGATGCGGTTGTGAGTTGTGGCCAGCGCGGAGGTGTTGCCTCTACCCCGGCTTCTGCTTTTCCACCTTTAACCCCTGCTCTCCATTTTAGTGCTGAGCTGCCATGGTAGTATTGATATTTCATGCCATGGTTGGATGCTTGTTCCCCTTTTCCTGGAAACTGAGCATAGCTAAGCCTTGACTATTTGCAGGCTCTGGGCACCTGGGGGTTTCTAAGTCAACATCGAAGTCCCAAATCAACGCCAGCTTCTGGAAAGAAAGAACCTTGTTAAAGCAATTTGAGGCCAGCTTCCATCAAAGCAGTGGCTCGGTTGCTGGCAGGGCTGCGGGAGCTGCCCGCGCTGTTGGGAAGCAGGCTGGGATGCTTTGGGCATCCCCCTGCTTCCGCGGGTTTCCAGGAGTGGTGTTGAATGTCGAGCATCCTACATGGTGTCCTTAGGGCGTTCCCTAAGAGAGACAGATGCAAGAAGGGGTATTGCCTCTGGCTTTCCAAGACTTTCAACCATTTAGAAGCCAGATGTATTTATTTCTTTAATTGAATCCAGTGCCTAGACAGCTATGGAGTCAGCTTCCTATGGAGAGGGGTGCATTAGTTTCATTAAGGTAAATCAATGAAAAATAATACCTGGAGGTCCCCTGGAAAGGGTCAGGGATGGAGTAATCCCTTTATATGGTGGGACTTTGCTTGCCTGCTTTTAGTTGGTTTTGTTCTTAACTGCGACAGATTCTCGTTTTCCTTTTAACCCTTCTAATTTTCTGTTCTCTAGGTAGTTGGTGTGAATTGGTGGAAATAAATCACTAATCTGTCTAAAAGAAAGTGAAGAATAAAAATCTGATTGCACAAAACAGAAAGACAAAGGAGTAATTGTAATAGAATTTAAAATGTCTGGTGGGAAGTAGTTGTGGCTAATCCTGGAAGCCTCTTAGTGTTGTGGATACAGACACATAGAATCAAGGCGAGTTGCCTGGGATGCAGACATCGACAGGGCATGAGAAGCATCCAAAATCCTCCCTATATGGTCCTCAGGGGGCTTCTTTGCTCTCCAGAGATGATCAGAGTCTCTTGTGGGATGTTGCTTACACCAGCTTGTCCTGAAGATTGGGCAGAGTGGCCTTAAAATGAAGGTGCTTTGGTGGGGAGAAGATGGGCTGGTGGCTCTGTGGTCCTGTGGTGCAGTCTGCAGGCTGGGCTTTGTTTTCCTGGGTCTTCTCAAGTGTCTCCAAAATCCCAAATACTTAAGAAAATGAAGGGATTGAAACGAGAGCTAATGGTTGCTTTAAAGCAAGGAGCAAAGCATTCAAATGCAGTGGATTTAGCTGTGTTGGCTGGGGAGAAGGCTGACCTCTGATTAACCCAGGGGCCCTAGTTAACTCGAATCCGGGTAAGCCAAGTTATCTTGTAATTACATGGTTTCTTGTCTGCTTTCAGCACTTTGAAAATTAATTGAAACTAAAATGCCCAGTCCCATAAATCCTTTAAACCAGGGTGTGCATGCTTCCCGAGGTAGTGCTTCCCTTTGTGTAGTCACCTTGGCATGTTTGGCTTTGATTTTTATTTTACAACCTTAAGATTTATAAAGCTATTTTGTGCTCACTTTTGCATGCACGTACTTACAGATGTGTAGTACAAGGAATTTGGCAGCCAAAATCCATCCTGACCATAAGGAATCCAAACGTGCCTGCTTCCTGCACCAGAGCCTCAGCTTCTACCTTCCAAAAACCCAAATAGAAGTTGAAATATGGGTTTGTTTGGGTTTTTTTTTCCCTTTAGCAAATCTAAGTGGAACAATTGACTGCAATTTTATGCTTTCCTGTTCTTTCGTCCACTGGCAACCTGAAACCTTGTAAGGTTCTTCTTATGTTGTGAACATGTAAAGGAACATTGATGAACACATCTGCATCCAAAGCCCCCAGCTATCTTCCTTAACCTACCCATGGGAGGAGACTCACCTGCCCTAGAGGAGCCCAACCATCATGTACAGTGTGCTTTGGGGTCCCCATGCAGTGGACACTTGAATTGAGGTTGCATGGAGAAGTGTTGGGAGTTCATTCCCATCATTCAGAGCTGAGACCCGTGTGAGCACCACCGAGTGTTGTTGGTGTGGTTGGTGGCTCTAACTAAAGACATGGCATTGCATGACCATCATGGGGGTGCCTTTATAGAGGAATGTATGATTCTATGTGTTCTCCCTGGTTCTTGCAGCCTACGTTGGATATAATAGCAAGAGAGAGCAAAAAAGCATTTAGAAGTGCAGATCCTTATGGATTTCTCATGATGGTCATGATCTTTCATCATTGTGTTTCATGAAGGACAGTATATAAAGAGAGTCCGATGGGTTAGTTAAAAACCAGGGTAACTGTAATCCTACAGCATTGTTCACCCATCTTTTTCATCTCTCTATTTTTGAACCATAACATCCAAATATTGAAACCAGTAGTTCAATGTAGGGTTTAGTTCTGGGGAAAATATAAAACAAGCTGAAGATTCACATGCAATTGTGTTGGTCACTCAGAAATCAGCTCTGCTTGGAAATAAGGATATCTCCTGAACTGGGCATTGGTGGCTCATGGAGTGGAAATGGAGTTGGTGGGGTTTGGGTTTTAGTCTTTCTTTTGTTCTGAATTCATCCCTTTCCCAGTCTGTTCAACATCTGGGCCTTAAGTCACGTATTACTTGCGTTTCCAACTGGCGGCCGTACGTCACAGCAACGTGCCGACCCTTCCTTCAGCATCCCAGCAAGCAGGAATCTGCGTAAACAGGGAATCTGGAGCATCCCTGTGTGTGCAAAGGGTTGAGAAACCCTTGGTGTCAACGTGTCGGAGTGCAGCGTGCTGTGCTCCAGGCCCTGAGATCTTTTTTTCCCTTTTATTTATAACATCGAACTGGAATGATGAAAATATATAGCAAAGATGAAGCAATTCCATTCACTCTCTTTAAGTCTTCCTACTGCCATAGTTGGCAGATGCTCTTCCCTGATAAATCAGCAGAAAGAAGCGTAGTTCTAGCACTTCATACGTTAGGGAAGAATATATAAAAGATCTGTATTTAATCAATTTTTTGTTTCCAAAATGGCAGCTGCTTTGTATTTAATGGAAAAATCAGGCTCTTCCCAATGGAAAGAATGTTATTCCCAAAGCGAATACAAAAGAAAATAAAAGCCACAAAAGAGGGGGATGAAATATGTCATTTATATATTTTTTTCTTCTCGTTCATTCCAGTTGTGGAGCCACACGTTCCCATCATGGTCAGGCCACAACTCTGGTTTGCGTCAAGTAACTTGGAGAGTCTCAGCCCATGGACACAGGGATCAGGAGAGAGCCTCACCCCATGTTAGGAGGCACAAATAGGACCGAGAAAAATTGGGGCTACTTCATGCTTCTTGTGTACACATAGAGACTTGTTAAATCAGGTTATTTATGGGTTTAGTTCCTTAAAAGGCTGAGATGCCTTCACGTTGGAGCACCATGGTTTTTCCTTCACACCTTCTGTTGCAGGGTCTTGGAGTCTTCTTCAGAGGTGAATGATCTTAGAGTGAAATTACGTATAAGGAGGAAATTCTTTACTGTGAGAGTGGTGAGGCCCTGGAAGAGGTTGTCCAAGAAAGTTTTGAATGCCCCATACCTGGCAGTGTTCAAGGCCAGGTTGGACACAGGGGCTTGGAGCAACCTACTCTAGTGGAAGGTGTCCCTGCCCATGGCAGGGGTTGGAGCTGGAGGAGCTTTAAGGTCCCTTCTGACCCAAACCATTCTGTGATTCTATCTTTGTGGAGACGCAGGTAGTGAGCATGGTAGGATGAGAAGATTGAGGAACATCAGTGATGATCAAGGATGGTCAGGGATTTGGAGCATCTTTCTTGAGAGACTGTGAGAGCTGGGGCTGTTTAGTCTAGAGCTGACTGAGAGGGTATCTCATTAATGCAGATCAATATCTCAAAGGTGGGTTCCAGGAGGATGGTGCCAGATGCTTTTCAGGGGTGCCCAGCAACAGGATAAGGAGCAATGGCCATAAACTAAAGTGCAAGAAGTTTCACTTCAACATGAAGAAGAACTTCTTTACATTGAGGGTGGCAGAGCACTGGAACAGGCTGTGCAGGGGGGGTTGTGGAGTTTCCCTCTCTGGAGATGTTCAAAACCAGCTTAGACATGTTCCTGTGTAACCTGCTCTGGGTGGGACTGGACCAGATGATATCCAGAGGTCCCTT